TGCCTCGAACGCGAACGTGAGCTCGTGGGCGCCGCTGCATATGCTTCGACGGAAGGAGCGGGAGATGGCGCTGCTGGAGGCCGTGATTGGTGGAAGACGACGGGGAGTATGACGAGGTCGGGGAGGAGAGGTTGGAAGGATGGACGCGGGAGTCAAGCCGCCACGAACGACGAGTCAAGCCGCACGGGCACGCGACCACCGTGTCTCCCGTCAATCCGGTCGCCCATGAGAGGGACGAATGCGATCACGAGTTCATGTCCATGTGCTGGCGGTGGAGGAGGCGGAGGAGGGCTCAACTCGAGGTGGCCCATCCTTGCGTCGGGGTCGTCGATGGGGATCAATTGACCACCGGCATGCAGCGGCTCAGGTCCGGACTGCTGCGCGGCCATGGGGCCATGGCCAGGCGGATCCACAACGCCCGGGTCAACGAGAGCGTCGGCCTAGACCTCTACTCCTTCAACACGCTGATCCGGGGCTGCGGGCAGGTGATCTGGAGCGTGCACGGAAGGTGTTCGATGGTCCGTTCTTTGGGCAGTTATGAAGAAAAGTGTGGATTATGCTATTCTCTGTTCCGATTCTTGCACCTGTTGGTTTTTTACATTCAGAGCTCTGGAAAATATGAGATGGTATGTGTCTTCTTTTCTGGTACAAGTACTTTAAATTGGAACCGTATCATTGCTACAATGAACAAAGGTTGTATTTTTTACATTGATTGGTACGCAAATAGTTGTCTTAGCTGATCACGTGCTGCGTACGTATGCTTTCACTTAACCTTGCTCATGTCTGTTTGTTATTCTTTCCTAGCTGTATCTGCTTATGGTTTGCTGCTTGCCCCTGTGCTGTGCTACAGAACTTACCTAACATGCAGAAACCTGGATGCGGGAAGGGCTCTGCGGTAGATCGGTCAAGGGAACAGACTATTGGGTAAATTAATTTTCTGTCAATTTTTGTTTCCTGTCTCTTCTTGCCTGCATGAATTAGTCCTTTTTCACTCTGCTTTCTGTTCTCTGTCTACAGAGCAGTGAAAAAGAAAATGAAGGAACAGATGGATGATTTTCAGGTATTGTTTTCAACTGGAAATGTCCAAATTGACATGTATGTGATGATTTTCCTCCTCTGCCTGTGAATAAATGTTCCCTCTAATCTTTTCTTTAGATACACACACAAAATGTTAAAACCAGTCCTTATTTCTGTTTACTACTAGGGCTATTTGATTTGATATACCTTCATAGAGCAGCAGCAGCGAGAAACCACTCTATTTTGCCATGTCTATGAGCCATCCAGGCTAGAACCCATATGAATTCTGAACATCTAGCAGGGTGCAAGTTACTCCGCTGATGCTTATATGTTCTACAAAGTAAAAGAAAGATACTACTCAACTATGTTTTTGCCAATTGTCCTATGGACTTTGAGTAACTTTACACAAATGTTTCTTAACCATTATGGTAGATTATTGATAGTATGCTATCAGCCTGATATCTCTGAAGACAGAATAGTATAATGTGTGTGATTCGGTGTTGTTTCCCTCTGATGCAGGTAATGAGAGAATCAATCGGGCAGGAGTACCGGGAAGTCGTTGAAAGAAGGGTATTCACTGTAACTGGTAATCGCCTTGATGAAGAGGTATAGTGGCAACATTTTTTCTTATATGGTTAAATTTGTGCTTTTTTTCTTTCTATTGTTTATCTTTCTTATAGTGTGCCTCCTTTATAACTTTGGAACCTGTAGACAATTGATGGTTTAATCGAGACAGGAAGAAGCGAGCAGATTTTCAAAGATGCAGTTCAGCAGCAGGGGAGAGCCCAGGTATATATATGAGTTATAATTTGGTCATGATCTGGACACTTGTGGGAAAAACAAGTAGAAATTCATTGAGTACTACTGTCAAACTATCTTCTCTATATAAGTGAAGTTTCACAGCCTCTACTTTTTGGTTATTTTTTCCTTTGTTGATGAAGGCACCCAGATGTTCATACATTCTTGTATGAACCAGCTTTCTATTGTCATGTTTTTATTATTGTTATTTGGTTATCGTCGATATTCACCCATTTTGATCATTGCAATAATATGTATCCCGTTGCAACGCACGGGCAATTTGTCGTCGGGTCAGTCTGATTGATTTTTTGGTGGACACATCTCAACATCCTCTCCCGTTGCAACGCACGGGCATTTGTGCTAGTCTATCCGTTATTAATAATAATAAAGCACGGATTGACTCCGTGGGTTCACCGTCACAATACGATTTCTTCTCGCTTTTTACGATTTGGGCTGGGCCTTTCTTCCCTATAATAAACAGAAACACGATGCGTTGCTGCACCAGACCCAGTCTCCTTTCCTATTCTTTCATCGATCTCCTTATTCCACGATGGTTCTTTTAGGTTTTCCTCCGTCCTATCCCTGCGGATCGACCCGGTCTCTCACCTGGAATCGAGTCCTTCACGACTCGGTCTCTCGTCCGTAGTTGCCTTTGTTTCCCCCATAAATAGGTTGCCCGAGAGACGGAGCCGCCAGATGAGCAGCGTAAAACCGAGATCGATCCCGCGGGCAATTCATCCAGGTGCGTGCCCTTGCCGAGGCTACCGGTAGCACGGCCGAGGCCAACGCCAACAGGCCCACGTCGTCGGAAGGTTTCTCGCTTTTGGATTTGCTGCACCGGCATGGTCATCTAGATGACGATCTTTGACAACAATGAGATCTTCAGGCCTTCACCATCTCCGATAAGGCGTCCACGTGGCACGTTAGGGACGGAAGATTCCTTCTGCTCAGCTAGAGAGGCACGGCGTCGTCATGGTCGCTGATGGCGTATAGCGCATGGGCTCATCGACGTGATGGCGATGCCAGTTCCAGGGTGCTCTCGAGGGCTTAGAGATGCCGAGCACGGCGGAGTGGACAGCCGACCACGGGTGCTGGCGGAAGGAGGAATCGTCACCGTGTGTCAACGGCTGGCGGGGAGGGTTCCTCATATACGGTTGTCCCTGCTTCGTCTCAAGATAGTCGCACCAGAAATAGCACACTCCCTTGCACGACGACAACAAGAAGTGGCAGAAGCGGCTGGCTGGATGGAGGCCGCGTAGCCGAGCCTTAGGGAGGCGGCAGCTCACTGCCTTAAAGTCAGAAGGAGGCCAACCACGCGTCCTCCAAGAGTAGATAAGCGTCTAGATCTCGCAGTTTATTCCACTACTAATGCTTGTTGGTCTAATTTGGCGTTTGCCTGCTTGATGACGCTCAACTTGGTCGACGTTCCAGCCTTAGCTTCCCATCCATGCGGTCCAGCGGTGCCCGTTCCTCTACTGTGTGGTTGCGAGGGCAGCTGGTCATGGAGGAGAGCGTAGGACGACGTGTACAAGTGGGCCCTCCTGACCCTCGCTGAGATCATTGGTTTTGAGTGCAAGAGACAGATCTTTCAAAATTCAATCACGTTTTTCTCCCGCTCCCCTTTTGGGATTTTGCTTAGTGTTACGTTTTTCAGTAGGGGAAGAGATGAATCATGATGTTGAAGATGACCAAGATCAGGAAGATGGGGATAGCGCACAGTTGACAATTCCATCACAATCATTGTTTGTTGATTTATGCGTATATATGCTTGGGCAATTATGCAGCTTTTATGTGAAGATTAGAACCTTTTGTTTTATTCAGGTATATTGTCTTTTATTCAGGAATGCTTACACAGAGAACATTGCAGAGCTAAAATTAATTTGACTAATCAGGAACAACGGCTGGATAGTCTGGATAGTGCCTTTTGATGGTATCCAGCAGCGACTCCTTTTGCTTATGGACTTTGGAAAGTATTTGATCTTTACCAACCGTGAACAACTCGTAGTATTATGGGGTTTCGGCATTCACTTCGCCACCTGAATGGCTTGCAGAAGCTGTGCGGGAGTAAGCTGACGGTTTGATATGGTCATGTATGAAAATGAATTTCACATATTCAACTTTGTGCCGGCAACTGTCAGCTTTCTCCTGCCAGTTGGTGTGGTAGGCGGATCAGATTAGAAGACTGGACGTGTGCAGCAGCTGGTCCTGTGATGATAAAAAAAAATTCAAATCGCCTATGAGATGTATCCTAACAATCCTGAAGATCTCGGTGCCTAGACATGATGTTCAGGGAACGCAATGAAGTTTCTAGAAATCATCACATGTTAGTGCAAAAATAATCATCCCAGCATAGTTGGCAGATGTTGTTGCGTGAGCTCAGCTGGCGTGCACTGGTCAAGCTAGCAAATTCAGCTAACAAACTAACAGAAGTACAGGTCAATACGTGTACAGGTGCACCCTGCTTGACCTCTTATTCAGCTAACTGACGAAACTGAAAAACTTGACACTACGGTGCAGCAGGATTATCCATCAGCAGAAACTTCGCATGCTTTCTACAGTCTGAATAGCAGTGCTTGAGCTAATAGGCATGCGTGCATGTTGTCTTTCATACCCTTCAGTGTGAATATGTATTCCCAGTAGCCATCAATAGTTTTGTAGGCCCCATACAGAAAATTAAAGAAAAGGTTGGCATGAACACCCACAACACTACGTGATACACCTTAAATATTTGAGAGTGTTTATTTCTAAGTCGATGACTCTAACTGTTGATTACTTATCCAACATGAATTGGTTAGTTTCAATTATTCAACATTATGTGAAGAAACAGTATCCAAAATCTTTGCTTTCTTGCATTTTTCAGTTTCATGTGTTCATAGTGTACGAAGGTTATCATTGCACTTTTCCAAGCGGGGAAGAGTTAAAATATGGTGGCGGCGCATCTTAGGGTTGGGTAGGGAGAGGAAGCAAGACGATGTGGTTGTGAAGGGACGTTGGAGCTAAATGAGAGGTGAAGAGTGGGAGAAGAGACTCCGAAGCACAAGAACATGTGACTGAAAAGCGGAGAATAGTGAAAATACAACAGTGGTGCATTTTTCTCTCGGTGCCCACTTCAAGTCAGCATGTAAATACATCTTTTTTTTTGTAAATCTAATTTCCTCCACATTTCTACATAAAGGGCAGCATGCAAGGTAGGAACTTCAATGACATGCAATATTCGAAGACATTCTGCGCCTTTTGCCCATAGTGCGGGAAAGTGCAAGCATCAATTTGTAGATAGGACTGGATGAGGCCCACCATCACTACATATCTGTTAAATTACAAGTCGGTGCAGGAAGGGGCAGGTGAAAGCACCGTGCTAGAATGTGATGACCAAGATCATTGCATTGGTATTAATCATGTTTGTTGTGAATAGAATCGCGAGTGGGTTTGTTTCCCCCGTTGTAATGCACGGGCATTTTTGCTAGTAATAATAAAGCATGGATTGACTCCGTGGGTTCACCGTCACAATACGTTTTCTTCCTATGAATTTACGTTTTTGGTTTGAATTTAAAACATATAATATGTGAGGTGGTACTAAAGTGTAAGAAAAAACGATTCAATTCCTCGAACCTGCAGTCCGTGCCTGTAGATACGTACGTACTTAATCAGGCCCATAAAGTTGTTCGTCTAGCCACGGCCCATAGCGATTCTAGCCCAACAAAGGCTGCCCACAAAAGGGGTAAAAGGCCGTGATAAAATATAATTGCCAAGGCAGGAATTTGAACTCAAAACCTCCCTGCCCTGTAATTAATCCGCTACCAACTGAGCTAGCCAAGTGCTTTGGTTAATCCCACCTCGCCACTTTATATCTCATCCTCCTAATTTATATAGGATTCCAGCCGACGTTGCAACGTGCAGCGAGATAAATAATAAGGAAAGAAAAGGATTTGAGACGGAGAACACTAATAAGGAAAGCCTTCCACGCTGAAGCAAATTTGAGAAAGAAATTTGTGCGGCAAGGGAAATAATAAGAAAGGAAAAGGAATTGAGACGGGGAATAAGGAAAGCAATCCACACCGAGGCAAAGGATTGGAGAAGGAAATTGCGATAGAAGATAATAAGGAAAGCGCTAGAATAAATCAGCAATCAATCAGCCTGTGTGTTTGGTCACGTTACCGGGCTAGGGTTAGGAAGAGTTAGATGGGCCGATCACAGAGCTTCTTCTTATGTATGATTTCAAAAATAGGTTTTAAAAATTATATTATTTTTTTCTCGAATACGCACGATAAAACCCATGCCATGGTTATTGGGTGAGGGCCGTGTGATATTTTCTTCTAATCTAGATACCGTCAACAATTTAGACATTGTCCCTTATCTGATTGTTTTGTTGGTCAGAGACCAAGATCTGTGACATATGTGGACGCGAACCAGATGTTGCCAACTCTTGCATCACCTTGATGAGGTCATCGGAATGCCGTCCCCAAGTAAAAATGGTGTCACTTAGTTAGCACCATCCTTACAAGTTTAGAGCAGCAAGACTCCAGAGCTTCGTCTTCCACCTATTTTCTCACCCATCGTTTCATAAAACCCTTTTTGCAACGTTATATTTTTTCTACACTCCTGTTGCAACGCACGGGCATTTGTGCTAGTATATATATATATATATATATATATATATATATATATATATATGTTGTTATAAGAATGATCATGATGCCCTCATGTCCGTATTTTATTTTATCGACACCTCTATCTCTAAACATGTGGACATATTTTTCGTTATCGGCTTTCGCTTGAGGACAAGCGAGGTCTAAGCTTGAGGGAGTTGATACGTCCATTTTGCATCATGCTTTTATATTGATATTTATTGCATTATGGGCTGTTATTACACATTATGTCACAATACTTATGTCTATTCTCTCTTATTTTACAAGATTTATAC